GCCTCCGTCATCAGGGCGATAAATTTACGACTACAATAGGTATACTTTACTTCAGATGCACTAATTGCTATTAAATCCATACAAACAGAATCCAGCAGGCTGTAATCACAAATATACGGTGGTTGGAGTATACACAAGATCCCTTTAGTTCAATTAGATATTCATTCTATGCCAACATATATAGCACTTCGTAAGTTGAACGAATTTTGAGATTCTTACTGTCAGCGACACGATATCCATTACGTTCTTCTTGGTTGTGACGCCATGTGGACTTGTAGATGGGTATTAAAGTTTCGGGGGTCAAACTGTCTCCATCCTCTTCCTTGTCTGTGTCCATTTGGTTAAGCCAGAAACATAAAACCGCACGTTCAAAATTAACAACGCCCCTCCTTGTAATTCTTCTACCCTCCATGAACCTACAAGTCAAATCCAGCCATTTGAAGCCCCATTTTCTGTGTGGACATGAGCAAGGGGATGACGAGGGGAGGAGGGGTAGATGCAAAGCCCAAAGCCTGTCTCCATCAAGCTCGCGTTTGGTTACTCTCTTGAATACATCAGAGCCTTGACACGAAAAGCAATATTCCGCCTGCAGTCAAGTAACACTTTCCCTGCAGCACACATAAATGGGCAAAGTGGATACGTCATTCAACTAATTTTAGACTTCCAAGTTTACTTACTTTTATATATATTAAATAAAACCACCAATAAAATTTTCTCGGGCAATCAGTCACGTCAACTGGTTACTGTAATAAACCGACGTTTCGGGAAACAACTTTGTTCCCATCATCAGGGTTCTGATGTGACTAGATACCTCGAAAGTCGCCATCATTTTCAATAGCATATTTAATTTCGTATATTTGGTGCTCCATGAGGTTTAGCCGCCAAGTTACGTGAAGTAGTTCATTGGTTTGCTTTAATTTCAATAATATTAAAAAAATTCTCAAGGATTACGTGTATTAGATCCTTAAGATACGAATTTATCTTCTTTATCAAATTGCGGTATAACACGATGAAAAATACAAACTAGAATTATTGTGCAATAGAAATTATAGCACAGAGTAGCAATTTATTGAAATTAAAAATGTTAATTGAACAAAAGACTCTGCAAAATTATTATCCTTTATCAGAAAAGAACTTGGAAGGCCATCAGGATTATAATATATAAAGTGAAGACTTCTGTCTTCTGGGTTGTTCCGCCGTTCAGTCCTGTAGAAGTTTACTGATGTGTCCTTGCTGCCTCCATCATCAGTGCCGTGATGATGGAGATGAATTGATTTCTCCTAGGGATACATGACCATCTGGTATAATTGGAAGAAACAAAAATACTATTAAAAAGCAACGAAGATACGTTTTAGCAAGGAGGGCAGACTGTAGAAGTGAACACAGCAAGGATAATGTAGTTTGAATTTCGTTGTTAAAGACCATAGCGAGCAATTCATGTTACCAATAAGGTTTCAACGAGAGGTTCCAGAAGAGCAGAGTTTAAGTACAGAGGCTGAGGTCAAACTTCAGTTGAAGCCTTTCTGTGGCTTATAGCATCTTATATATCTTCTGTGTCTTGACCGGTTGGGAATACGTGGTCTCGTTTATCTGATGCGGTATTTAAGTTCCCGCCAAGTTAGGAAGCTGTGAACTGTGCGGTGAAGTCGCACTAGCCAGGGGCCTTCGTCTTGTGACTCTCTGGCCCTTTGGCGGGGGTGTTGACTTTCATCGCATAATGGGGTCTTTATAACAAGGAAGGATTAGACACAACGGACGTGTTCTAAGACAATAGAAAGCTACTGATTGGTTATTCACTCTAAAGGTACCCGGTGATTTGTCATCAAAGGAAATTTACGTGATAATGAATTTTTAAGTTCAAAAAATGTTATTCATATTTCAATTAACAACTTCAGAGCTTATACTTGCTTTTATTGAATATTAATTTGTGTTATTTGCTTTTATAAGCAGGTCAGAATTCGATTGCTACCTATGAATGTAGAATACTCGTGTCTAAGAATTATAATAAGATATGAAATTACACATCTACTTTATGTTTTTTGTAGAAATTAAAATTTTATTCGGAATCTAAAGAAATAAGAGTGGGAAATAGGCCTTTAACAACAAATTCAAATACAAATATTTTTATCAAGAATCCAAAGTAATGGTGTTATCAAATCCCTGGAAGTAAATTGGATCACAGTGTTCTAAAGAGTGGAATAGAATATATCCTAGTATAAGAGATGTAGGACCGATATGAAAAGATTAGAAGGTAACACGAGTTTACATAATCATTTGTTTTGATAAGGAATTTTATCGAGAAACATCAAATAGTGAGTTCTTTCGTGTAAAGAAAAGAACATAAAGTTAAAGAATGAGAATGTAGTGTAATGTACAAACACATTAAAACTCGTGCCTACCTATTCCACGCATGAAACCAATCATTTTGCGACAATTTAATCCTGTAAATAGAATTTATATTTCCTTAAAGATAAGCAAAGTCATTAGATATACCATAAAGAGGTGTTTTAATTGTCTTAATTTAAAGGAAACGTTCCTTTGAAAATTTCGAGTGGAATGTTGTTTAAAACTAACCCCGACATCATCACAAACCCCGACTTAACCCCTCCCAGTCCTCATCAGCACTTCGTCTCAACAGATTTGCGAACGTAGTGTATCAGCAGTAAGTCTAACCATGCAGGAGCGTTTCTTTACCGTTACTCTGTGCTCCAGTTGGCAATACCATTTTAATTGCACTGATAATTACTTTAATTTGGTCTCTCTTTTACTTTCCCCCTCTGCCCGGATCTCGTTGTAGCACTCTGCTGTAGCATCCATACAATTCTGCCTCGTCGTTAAAATCCCCACGCCCTTCCCTCCTGTTTGGCTTTAGTAGGGGTGTCCAGTTAACATTTTACTTCAGTTAACACAACAACTCGGTTTATGCCAAGAAAAAAAGACTTTTAGATGTATCACAATATTAAGAAAGAGAACAAAATCCTTAATGTATTCGTTCCATCTCGACCCTTCTGAGTAGCCAGGACACATAATGGTTTTTCATCTATACTCATAATCTCTGTCAGTGATCAGATTTCCTGGTAGTTTGCAGTGGTGTAAGGCAGATTTTTAGAAGCTACCTGCACTCAAATCATGAAAAAAAAAAAACCGAATTTAAATATTTCTGCACGGAAATTCATAGAACACAGAAATATATGTACAATGTAAGAGAATAATTTCAACACTATTTGAGATTTCAGGTTACTACGACGACTTCTCTATCTTCAGGACTGAAGTCAGCCCTGAGGATGGGTGAAGTAGGTTTCTCCGAAACATTGGCATCCACTGTCAAGTTTTCACGGCGCCAGAACCCAAACGGACATCATAAACATTTACAACAAAGTTCATAATTAATTTTAGTCGGAGTAAAATTTGGAAATAACATTTCAGACCCAGTTTCAAATTACTCACAGTAGATGTTCAGATGTTATTCTGTACTTCTCCGGTGTCAGGGTTGTGAGTTCAAAACATTTGACCGAATCATATTTTCTGTTGTAGGACAAATAACTCACGTCACTTGCAACGTAACAAAACTAGCACTTTATGTCTTAAGTTAATGTCTTAAGTCATTACGTTACCATAAATTTTTGAAAGTGAATTATCCGGCTTGCGAGGACTTTGCGTAGTTATATTTCGTGTTTCCTGAAATTTTATTGCTCAGACTACATTTCTCTACTCTGTTATCGAATATTTATGAGGGTCATAGCTCTGCTATATACTGGATAAATCACCGATTTATAATATAGTCTTTTATAAAAATTACGGTAGAAATAACATGACACAATATAACAATAATCTATGTCACCACTACACTTAGAGGCCAGTTTCAAAGTACAAGATCCTTACAGATGATTAAATGACTGTACATTTCACTGTTTTATAATAAATTAAGCAAAGAATTATAAACTTAGAAAGAAATTAGTAAAAACAGTAATAAAATATCAGAAGTAATTTCAGTAAGACTTTGAAAGCTTGTTGGCCCTCTATCTATTGTAAAGGAAAAATAACTTTACATCACAGTAATTCCAGGGTAGTACGTAAACTTCAGTACTTAAACACCGGCAAATAATATACAAAAATTAGTCCCGGAATCTTTCCTTATTGGCTGAACAAATGTAAGTTTTTACGTGTCAGACATAGGCTAATAAAAAGATTTGCCCAAATATTAGTTAAGTTAAGGAAGCAATAGTATGCATTGTAATCTGCTGGATTCTGACGTCCTGTGGTTTTGTAGATTACCAGCCTTTCGGAGCAACGTATGCCTTAAGTTATAGGTCACTTAGGAACGTTACTTATCATATTTAATCCTATATGTAATTATAATCCCACAATGCAATACTTCATGTTATTCAACATTTCTCTCTGAGTAGAGAAGGTGTCTCATGATCTCGTAAACAATTAATGTAGCACGTATATAGAACCTGTCACCCACAGACTCGCAGACATCTGCGGGAAATGTATTTTCCCTTTGTAAATGCACCTAGCATCGTGTTACAATTAAGAAATACAGCAATGGTTTCAGACGAGATTTCCTACAAACTCAGTCCCAACCCCAGCCCACGACGTGCAGACATGGTTCGTGACGTCATAAAGAGGAACGAGGCACATGGAAATTAACCAAACATTACTTTGAAGCCTGAGTGAATTTTTATTTAACACAGAGAGATGTACCACTCGGCTCAATTAATTGACGGCAGAATTATAACTAAGAACAAACTTATAATTAATATTCATTACTCATAAAATTATTTTAATTTATTAGATAGAGATATTAAAAAAATGTAATTTGGTAACAAAGGCAAGGGAAATATAAAGTTTCCCTGACTGCATCGAGCAGAATAATTCCTGAGATACTGATTGTCGTTCATCTTTTCAAGAAATTACTTAAAATTTGTTGAACTTCAAGGTTTATTATCGTGTTTAAATGACCTCAGGGTCTGACCCTGACTTCACCAAGTTTAATATCGTTTACGCCCATGTCTTAAATACTCCTTAACATTTTAACATTAACATTAACCTCACATCCACGCTAAGATCTAACATCTTGAAGATTTTATTAAAATTTTGCTATGTTTCTCATCTCCCACCTCATTCTTATCTACTTCTTCACTCAAAAACAGTTTCATGTTAATAAATTTTAAGACCTCATTATGCTTATTTCTTAGTGAAAGAGTCGTTGCATGTCCAAGGTCCTTTGTGCTATTTCGTAATATGTTCGCTTTTTTACGGAGAGGCTATAGTAGTTCCCAACCTTACGTGTAAGCTGGGGGACCACCCGTTCTCAGCTATCCGCCGCTGATTATTAAATATAGGCCACGAGCAGCCAGTTGTTTAAGGACGCACTGAACACGGAAAATATGGAGCATACGCCCAGGTCCGTAGCTTAAACTCAACTCAAAACGTCTTTCACCGAGACCTGGGTCCCTCACACGCAAAAGAGACCACTTGATGGAAGTACAGCTTCCTTCTTCACAAAGAAATTTAACTCTTTTCTCATCTAGTTATAGTAGGTCACGTGTCCTGTGCCGGATAAAAATAAACTCTAAAAGATCTAAATTGTTACCTGTTCTACCTTTTAATGCTCGTATATAAATACGTCCACTTGTTTATTTATAAGTCAACGTTTTCTTTTGTAGCTGGCCGTTGAAGATTTTAATGACATGTCCAAGCCATTATCATAAGTGGGGAGACACTAGCATAGTACAGCACTCCGAACTCAAATTAATCTTCATATCACGAATTTATAACGAAGACTGAAACAACAAAATCCTTGTTATTACATGGAATTGGATCTTCTGGTAACACGTTCATTTACCATCAGGAAATCTCGTGTTAAATTCCATTCTAGCTTTTCTCGTGGTTACTGTTTGCATCCAGATTTCCTGCGCAGGTACATATGTAAAAATTCCCAATATCTGATCTCAGCATCCGGAAGTGAAATAGTTTTCTCTTTGCGAAACTTGTTCTTACGGGTGAGTAGAGCGATACGGCTTTACAAAGACACGACCTATACACTAACTAACGAAGTAAACTGGGAAGAGATTCTTGAGAAGTTACACCTGCTCGGCTGAGCGTGACATTATCCGCTTTTAAATAACCAAATGGTTTACAAGTTTATCCCGCTGGACCAGACCCTAAAACTGTCCATTTCAGTCCTCAATCTCACATCCGCTAGTGGATTGTGGTATTCTGAATTGTGACGACAGGTTGCTCACCGTTTATCGCGTCAAAACCAGGAGACCAGATCACAATTTCACCGCCG